CCTCAGAATGACTGTGAACCTTGTGCATTGTGTATATGATAATTTTTGAAATGAATCATGCAACTAAACAATTTTCTATAGTTTTTTACCTTCATTATTTCTAGATTTATTTACATTCATCAATTGTAACGTTTTTCTAACATCAATCGCAGATGCTCATCGAGTTCATGAGAGTACGGTCCATCAAGCACATCAAACAGAGCAATTGTGGTCAGTCGTGGAACGCTCCTGTGAATATGTGATTCAAGTTTTTTTTGCGATTATTTCAATATTTTCAGTACTTACCCAAGTCTTAGCATCAGTAAACTTTTCACTTTTACTTTAGTAAAAGCTGCATCATCGATTAGAGGTTCTTTTATGAGAACAATTGCTGTGTCGCTTCCGGTTACATCCATGGTGATGTCGCGATAGTTAGCCTTTATTTCCATAATGTACTGCCATCTGCAAAAATTTCATTTTTAGAGGACAGATTCCACTCAAAACATTGTAAGACTGCGTCCAGAGTCGCTCTGGTCAGCCTCGTTCCAGCGTGTGCTAGCACCGTGGCGGAACTGTGCCGCCGGAGCTGGATCGATCAGTATGTGCGTCCACGTGGGTTCCAGCTCGGCGCCACTGATGTGCCATACGCGGGCAAATATGGACGCAACCAAGCAGTAATTTTCTTACGTATGGTTGAAAACAGTCCAAATACTAACGGCTACACCCATATGAGCCATAGTTTCAGCAACGATCCATAAACGACCATTGCGATATATTTGTTTCATCAATCTTGGAGCTTTGAGTGCTGCATAGACCTCTCGTCCATTTCTTGCTTGAAATGGGCAGTTGCATGGTTGCGTGTAGGTTATCTGTAACGATAAGCACACTTTAGGGCGCTACGCAACCGCGTCGCGAACTCTCGCGTCACAGTTGCGCAGCGGCAGCCGAAAAAATCTATGAACGATGATGAAATTGTGGGCGCTTGATTTCAAGCAAATAGGGCAAACCTTTCGTGTCTCCATATCGATATTCAATATTCTTCCTGTGTAGGCTAGTCTTCCAAATATGTTTGGTATCCGTTCAAATGAGGAGAGTATGCTTCCCTCCTGCCATGGCTGAGTGTATGGTGCAATGCCGAGTGTTTGGAAGTCGTCAATCTCTAAAATGTTCCACAGCAATATTGGAAAAGAAAGTGATTTTCAAAATCAGTTGACTTTGAATTACCGAAATATTATGCTCCTTCACTATTTCGTTTTGCTGAAGTGTTCTCACTGTGTGAAGCTCTATTCATTGACAAATGAATCAAACTCCAAACTTCAGGTCCTTAGCCGAGCAGAGTACATAGAGGAGCATATATAGTTGACAGATTTGATACAATGCTCTTGCGGTGAAGGCATCATCTGCGCGGAAACAAATGCTATGCTTGCGCAGGCCACAATTTGCTTGCAAGAGCTTTAAATTGGCGCAAAAAATAAAATAAAAGCCTGTCATAGTCTACGCGAAATTTCTTCAACGCAAAATTATATAGGACATCATGAACGGGCTTTTGGAAATGTTTTTTACCGGATGAACTGATTTCTCCATTCATCTTGATTGTGAATATTCGCAGCTTTCTTGTTGCTTGATCTAATTCCATAAGAACCATACCATTTTCGTTTCTAGAACATGCAGCAGAGAATTTTTTTGGAAACATCACAACAAAGTTCCAATCACAGCTTTTACTATTTTTTTTAGATTTGAAAACCTTACCGCGCGCTATTCCATGACCACATTCTTTCCTCGTTTAAACTACATTGTAGTGCTAAAAGCTC